GACTTGCATGTTTGAGTCCAGGTAGTCGTACAGTATGTAATAAGCAGAAGAATTATGGAATTATTATACAAAACTTCTGCTTCCTTGGTCAAACTATTTCTAATAAATCTAAAATGTGCTAAATTAAATTTCACTGTGTTAACTTTATTCACATGTTTAAAAAAAAAGCAAGAGAATCTATCATTATTTTAATAAGATATTACTTGATATCTTCTAACACTTTCTTTGTCGACTTATTCTAACCCTAAACCTACCCTAACAGTCTACTCTGAGAGTTAGCAGACATGTAGTTGCAAATTAATGAGAATTAGTTGCCATGTAGTTACAAAGTTACTTGTAGTTAATAGAATGTCTAAAGTGGACTATTGAAATAAAGTGTAACCACATATCTGCTTCTACATCCCGATATGCCCTTTTAGTAAAAAACATTGACATTAAGATGTAAACATGATTTAGTAAGCCATTGTGAAACCAGATCCAAGACTTTTGCATGTGCATATAGAACAACATCATCAGCATGCTCGCGAGTGTATAATTTAAAGTATGCTCCTTTGCTTAAAAAAGTGGTGAAACATTTAGACACATTTCATAAAGAAAGGCTACAAATTTTTACTTTTTTTTATTGTGTAGCTAATAACTAATCAAAGAGTTCTTTGTTTCTGGCAAATAAAGAAATCTGCTTACAGACAGAACTTTCCTCTCTATAAAACTTATAAAGCAACTAACATTAAACCCAATGATCACTGTAATGTGTAAACTCTGGCTTGATATTAGGAGTAAGATCTTTTAATCAACTACAGCTGAAAGGTTTAGCATTATATTCTTGCTAAGCAACATATATATTGCTTTCACTGCACTATAAAAGTTACAGTTGTTTATAGAGCCTCTTATGTACAAATAACTACACTGTGCCCTGACCTGACTACATATAGCTACCATACCACCCTAGTAATAAAAACAGAGAAATGCAAAAGGAGCGAATAAAACTGTTTACAATTTTCTGAGTTTTATTTTATGAAAGATGCTAAAAGTAAAAAAATGATTGCTTTCACTACACTATGAACAGTTACATTTGTTTAGAGCTACTTATATGAAGAGTTTACTGGCAAAAACCGATAACTGAAATTTTTGTAAAATTTCATATATCAAGTTTTTTCCTTTATATATATATATATATAGTGTATTCCAAAGTAATATCAATCAAACTGCAGTAGGGTTGTTTTGATAAAGTAATAATAAATAAATAAAATAAATACAGGTATTTTACAAAATCAAAGTTCACTGAAAGTATGTTTTTTTTAATGTATAAAAAGTTTGTTTTTAGCAAAATCAGATAAACTCCAAATTTCATGTTTTAGAGGTAAACAAAACCAAGTAATTGCTAAGTTAGCGTTTCTAATCCGCCCTCGTATTTTTTTCCTCATTAAAACAAATACAAAACGTGTTTATCAGTGATAGTTTGAGTGCATTTAATTTTGTGATTTCATAAAAACAACTACAGTCTCCACAAAAGTTAGACAAAACGTGTTAAGAATGTGCTATATGTGGAGAATAACACGGCAATCGGTTCATTTTTTAAAATGTGGCATTTATCGGTTTTTGCAAATGAGCTCTTCATATACAAATAACTACAAGCTGCCTTAGCCTGACTTCATTTAGCTACTATATGGATCCATTCAAAAGTAATAACAGCAAAATGCAAAAAAAGGAGAATAAAACAGTGTAAACACAGATGCTAAAAGATAAAAATGTCCAAAAACCTGCTTTGTTCCCCTTTTTAAAGAATTACTTTCATAGTAATATATTGTTAATAAAAATAACAAATTGGTCCCTCTGTAAATTCTCTTTGCCACCGTGAAATCTTCTCAGTCCCTTAAAGTGTAGATACGGCCGGGAAGCAAGAAAACACACAGTCAAATGTATTCTCAATACTTCAATTTATTCATAGGTATAAAGATATTTTATAGGCATATGTCGAGGGGAGTTTCACCCTCTTAACCAATGAGGATATGAATGACATACACATATAGGATCTTTGGCCAAGAACATGTGTTTATATAAAATGGCCACATGTACAGAAAAACATGGACTTATTAGGAATAGACTTTTGCGAATGATGAGGAACTCTCTTCAGAGTTCCTCACGAACTCCTTTCACCTTGTAGTCCTAGCATTCATGTCCTTATTTGGGCATTTGAACCAAGAAAAGCTAATGTATACATTTGCGCATGCATACCTCGCATATGAGTAAGAGATATTTAAAACAT